CTGGTGGTCCCTCTGCTGCTCCTCGGCGCTGCGCTGCTTGTCGTTGAAGTATTCATCCATGGCGTCGAAGGTCTTCCCACGTTCCCCCCGTTCTGTGTTTGATCCACCACCTCGGATTCGCTCGAGGAATGACGCCACACCCCAACATGTAGCACAGTTCAATGACAGCCTCCGAATTTGCCACATCATGGCCATCATCCGCAGCTTTCGTCAGCGTCCTTCTTCTACGCATGCACAACTGCTCCTCCATTTGTCCCAGTGCCCTCACCTGCTGACAACAAAGAACTGCGGTTGACGCGGCTGCCGCCACCGCTGCCCGCTCAAGTGGTGTCAATAGCCCTCTCCGTCGCCTCACCACCACCTCCACAGGGATGCCATCTGGATCCTCGCACCCCAGAGACTTTACCCCGCTCACCCCTCGAGGAGAGGTCCAAGAAGCTGCCGCCTTTCCATGGTTGTCGCCACCCTGGCAGACGACGTGGAGGAGAAGCTCGACGTCGATGGACGCACCCGGTGCATACATACACTGACCAGGAGGTGGGTGGAAAGGGACATCGCCGCTAAGGCCGGTTCACCCCTACACCATCTGCACGCCACACGCCGAACATCGTCATCCTCACCACAGCCGTAGTTCAAATATCGAATTTCGAATGTAGAGGTCCCCTCAAGGAACTCATAAGGAGTGTCTAACGACCCCCCCCAGTCCATTCATGGGGAGCAGCACATGCTGGGAACTGGGCCCAACATCCCATACAGAATTATACAAATCATTTGAAATACCAGGGCCACTATGCCTCACAACGCCCTAATACTAATTGTATGGAACATCCTTTGGACCTTTTCCACAAGAAGTGTGAGTCCACAAGGGTTGGTCAGCTATCTTCTCTAGTAATTCAATAACATTCAGTCCGTGCTATGTTTCATTCCCCTCCTCTCCCCTCACATTCCATTCCTTCTCTCCCATCAGTCGGTCCAACGAGTCCCACAACTTCAACTTCGGTTGCCCGTGTGTGTGTTTTGTAATATGTCCCACAGCATACTCACCATGCACCCCATTCCATATGGTACACCACCGTACCACCAGGCCGTGATCATATCAAAACTACCCGTGTCTGCTGCCACTCTAGAGTTCCTCTGCCTCCCCATGGCCTCATCCACTCGCAGATTACCATGACCTGCTTTCCAGAATCCCACCAAGGATGGAGGCCATGGGGAGGCAGGAGCGCAGACATAACACAAGCAGATCAAACAAGCAAACCAAACAGACAAGTCCCAAAACGATGCCGACACAAGAAGATAAACAGAAAGTGGGAGGGCATGGGGGAGGCAGGAAGGCAGAGTACATACAGCACATGAAACTGACAACCCAAAACAACACAAGTCTGATGTATCAGTCTCTCGCCCATGCCATCACCAGTTTCAGCAGAACAGCCTGATGTTCGCCGGTGGGCGGGTGGTTCATACCCACACCCCTCCCCGTTTCTCCTCGACTCTTTCTTTTTTCCTCCTCAGGATTCAAGTGAATGCAAGTCAAAACCTGAGAGGAAATACAGAGGGAAGGGAAGCTGGCCGTCAATCCTCCAAAAGCCCGAAGCAATTGGAGCAATCAATGCTGATCACGGGTCCTGCAGCAATCGGTGTAAGGAGGCACCACGTGTCTCTCTGTGTGTCAGTCTGTCAGAGTCTTTCATCTCTGACTTGCCAGGGAAATAGCAGCAGCAACTGGACAAACACCCCCCTGAATAGATAAGGGGCCAGGGCCGTAAGAGAACCGCTGTCTGGGAGTTTTGAAAGAAACAAACAAAGAAAAGTGACAAGGCGAATGTTGCACACAGATGGCTTTCTTCCACGAACCACAAGAATATAGGTTAAATGACATACAATTTTTGGAGCAATTGCTGGAGAAATGGGCACATGCTTCTGTGTACTGACTGAATTTTCACAGACAAAAATAACTCTTGGTGGACATCATAAACCTCAATTTGCTCAAATACGAACAGCTTCACTGGTTGTCAACGACAAAATATCACAATAATTACGAACAGCTGCCAATTCAATGTTTATTTCGTGATCGTGCCGGCAATTCATCACGAAATTAAGACCCAGCGAAGCTTTCAGAAACCAATATTTCTCTTTTTTTTTCAAAATTCTAGAAACTGTAGGTACCGCCCACTGTGCTGGACCTGCGGCCGGAGCTTGGAACAAAGAGGCCGTTGGTTCTCTAGCACAGCTTTCACACTTTTTCCACACCAGGCCTGGCCGTAATTGCAGTCAGGCTAGCATAAGAACCCTGAAATGAGAGGGGCTGGCGGGGAACTCTCACGGAGAGTCCCATCAGGAAGAGCCGAGATTCGATCGTCTTTCTTTTTTATTTTCCCTCGTTCTTATGGTGACGAAAACAAAGCAACAGAAAGGGCATCCTGAGCTCTTTCAGATTGAATTTCATCCAGTCATTCGGGGCAGGCCGTAAGTGGAGTCGGATACATTCTGGAAAAGTGCTCGCCTGAGAGTGCCCTGACATGGAAGGAAGGACTTCAAGAGAACGCATTGCCCCCTCTCCCCTTAGAGCCCTCCGTGCATGGCATACGCCAGAGGAACATCTTGCAGGCCATTTGCCCCCCTTTTTCCTCATACCCAAAACCCCCCGTCGCACTACCGGGCCTTCCCCACGTCCGGGGATATTGGGATTAATCAGTCACCTCCTGAGACGTACACGTGCTCGTCTTTCCGATTCCTTCAAGTTACCGTTTACTGACAAGAAAAGGACTGACTGCTTTACTCGAACAAACAAACAAAAAGGAAAAAAAAGAAAAAAAAGACGATATTGCCTTAGTAGATGCACCGCAGGTTCGAGAACGTTCCAGAAAAAAGAGAAGAAAAACAAGCGTACCCAGTACAGCACACCCCGCCACCGTCGATTGCGGAGACGACCATCACCCACCGTCTGTCCATTTCGTTCCCTTCCCTGGCCACTAGATCTTTTTCTTTTTTCCGGGTTCCCATGCTAAACTTCTCTGTATCGTTCCAATTTTGACGGCGTTGAGCTACCTCAACGCCTGAATGTGGACGTTTTTGCGGAGATGTGCAACAACGGTGTCGAGTTTCCTGAACTCCACGTCTCCACAAACACGTCCCGATTCAGGCGTTAATAGTGGGACTTGGCCCCTGGCGCCTAGATTGATCTCTCTATCCCGTTCCCTCTGTTCCCTGACTTTTTTTTTTTTTTTCCCCTACTCCTCTTATTCTCTGTTCTGATGAAAGGGCGATGGCGGTCCTTCGGGACATCCGTTAAAATTAGACGATACAGAGAAGATTAGCATGGCCCCTGCGCAAGGATGACACGCAAAAAAGAAAAAAAAGAAAGGGCGATGGCGTAGAGGTCTCATCATTGAACTGATCGGCCCCAGGTACTTCACAATTATTTCTGTTAAAAAGAAAAAGACGAAAAAAAGGTACATCAACCACGTCTGCACACCGTTGACGGTTATAGCTATATGACCAACCACGCAATAGGACCCCAAAAAAGGTACATCAACAACGTCTGCACAACGCAAATGGTTATAGCCATATGACCAACCACGCAATCAGATTAGCCCATCAATGTCGCTTAGACTACGACGATTCAACAAAGAGGACCCAAAAAAAGGTACATCAACCACGTCTGCACAACGTAAATGGTTATAGCCATGACCAACCNTGTCGCTTAGACTACGACGATTCAACAAAGAGGACCCAAAAAAAGGTACATCAACCACGTCTGCACAACGTAAATGGTTATAGCCATGACCAACCATGCAATCAGATTAGCCCATAATTGTCGCTTAGACTACGACGATTCAACACAACAACGTCTGCACAACGTAAATGGTCATAGCCATGAACCATGCAATCGGATTAGCCCATAATTGTCGCTTAGACTACGACGATTCTTCAAATAGGACCCCAAGAAAGGTACATCAACAAAGTCTGCACAATGTAAATGATTATAGCCATGACCAACCACGCAATCAGATTAGCCCATAATTGTCGCTTAGACTACGACGATTCAACAAAGAGGACCCATTTCAAAACGAGACCCTTCACCCATCACCATCATTGTCACTGAGACACAAACAAAAGATAGGACCACTTTCAAAATCTTGTATCGACAAGGACAAAAACAAAAATTATACCCACATCGCCCACAAGAAGAAGAAAAGACAATTCCAGGCATTATACCCACATGATGGTAGTTCCAAAAGCTACAATCAAGACAGCACAGGCGTCACCATCCACATTCACCATGCCTGAAAATCCACCGATCAACAAGATACGGCAACACACGCTTCCCCAGCCTGCCTCCATCCAGAACAAGGCATTATGCCGACATGATTGCAGTTCCAAGCTACAATCAAGACAGCACAGGCACACCGCTTCCAAGATACGTCACGACAACACCCAGCAGGTACAGTCGCTCAAGTCGTTAAAAGAAAAAAAATGGAACTATAAGATTACCATCTGGAGAACAAGCCTCACCAGCCTCCAGAACAAGGCATTAACACAGCATGATTGTGATTGCAAGCTACAACACAGGCTTAACCAGCCTCCAGAACAAGGCATTATACCCACACGATTGTAGTTCCAAGCTAGAATCAAGACAGCACAGGCGTCACCAGCCACATTCACCATGGCCTGCTCTAGCCAATCTGAACAATCATACTACACTGTCATCCGCCTGACAAATTCCTCGTCCTCAAAGCTCAGCTTATTGTCACAACACTGTCAGCAAATATACACCGCAGCAATCACACCGCTGCCAAATCACACCGCTGCCAAACAAACAGGAAGATTACCATGATCGCAATTTAAAACCAACAGACTAAACATTCGGAACCGTTTAAGCCTGTTGTACTCTCGTACTGATGCAGCTGCTACTTAATTTCTCTTCATTATTCCTACAGGATTGTTCGCTTTAGTGCAAAACTAAGTGTCACGCTCTCTCGCCCATCGCCTTCCGTTTATATTCCATCTAATCCCCCACAATCGCTCGTTTAAGGGCAAAAATACCACGTTCGCTCGCCCATCGCCTTCCGTTTATGCTCCTTTCATCCCCCTCCTACGTTTCAGGATTAGACCGTTGGCCACGCACGGCGGCAGACAAGGTCTTCAGCCGCTAACGCCTCCCGGCTGAGTCCCCAAGAGTCTCTTCTCCACGTGTCTCACAGCCATGCCGCCCCACCAGCTTCTTCACACTGTTGTAGCAAACTTACGCAAAGCATGAAACTGGCCATTCACATGCAACACGTGGATGACAGATAGCACGCTTCACCCGGCTCTCCAGCATGAAACTGGCCATTCACATGCAACACGTGGATGACAGATAGCAGGCTTCACCAGGCTCTCAACCGTGAAACAGGCCATTCACATGCAACACGTGGATGACAGATACAGGCTTCACCAGGCTCTCCTCCGGCATTTGTACCACGAATCTGGTCCTTATATCCGAGGACGCCACGAATCTGGTCCTTCTAGCAGAGGACGCCCTACATACTCGTCCTGCATTATTGGCACTCGTCACACTGTTCTAGCAAACTTAAGCAAAGCAAAACCTCGTCATACACATGCAACACGTTGATGACAGATAGCAGGCTTCACCAGGCTCTCCTCCTACATTCGTATCCGGTCATTCTATCCGAGGACGCCCTAGATCCTCGTCCGCCATTATTGGGACTCATATCTCATTACAAATCCCACTCCACTCTACATCGATCTAAAAATGAACAAACAGCACGATTACAAATTCTCTTCAGTGACTTCAGTCGACTTCGATTCTTAAACGAAAGGAAAACACGAACAACTCACCAGCTCCACAAATGAAGCAACGCACTCCATACGTCGCGTCTCCACTTTCGTTAGCAGTCTCACCACCTTCATCGTCAACCTTCTTTCTCTCTCTCTCTCTCTCTCTCTCTGTGTGTGACACCATCGTCAACCTCCTACATCTCTCTCTCTCTCTCTCTCTCACACACACACACGCTGTGTGCGTGTGTGTGTGTGTGATGTCACACACCCACACACACGCACACACGTGCACATATTACACATACTCACACATATGAGGTCGGTGGACGTCGTAAATCTTTCGCCTACTACCCAATGTGGACGTCAACGACTTTCCTTTCCGCCTCTTTCTTTGGGATAACGAGGTGCAACACCCCGTCCTTAAATTCCGCCTTAATTTCGTCAGTCTTCACATTGTCAGGAAGCAAGATTCTTGTGCGATAGCTGGCTGCACTTCTTATTCTGTGCGTATCACCCTCTCCTGCCCCCTCTTCCGCCTTGTGTTCCCCGCTGACGATCAGCGTATCCCCGTCCTCCACCTGGACTGACAGCTCATCCTTGCTAATTCCCGGCATATCCATTCTAACGAGGAAAGCGTGGTCCATTTCCTGGAACTCCATCGGGACTCGTGTCGCTCCTCGAATGTTGTCCCTCATCATATTACCGAACACCCTCGACGGCGAGAAAAGAGCATCGTCAGTAAGCCGATCGAATCTGTCTACCATGTCCATCATTTGGCGAATAGAAGCTTCTGGCGAACCCCACATATCTGGAAAAGAAGCCACATGGTCAACAAGAAACACAAAAAAAAAAACACACAGAAAAGCACAAAACCCCACCCAGAACCGCAGCAATCACCCATAACAAGAACGAGACCCAGCACAAAACCCCACCCAGAACCACCCACAGCAATCACCCATAACAAGAACGACACCCACAAACCAAAAACAAACACACAGGAGAATGACAGATCAAATCCCCAGAAGAACCGCAGAAGAACACCCAGAAGAGCAAAATAACACCCCCAAACCGCAGCGCAACACCCCCCACAGTAAGTCAGAGAAAGATACAGACAGTGCAGGCGGAGGCAATACGCCACGCCAGAAAGAAAATACGGGTCTGTTAACTCCATACATGACGAAAGAACTTCATATCATCAAGAAAGACATTTTCCTGACCATATATCCCCATACAAATCGGGTGTTAGCATAATCATGGGAGTTATTATAATCATAAGATTTCATAAACTCGACTCAGGTCTCTTCATCAGCAGTTATACACAATTTATGAACAGATGCACAGTACATGGCTCCACTTATACACAAATTATGAACAGATGCAGAGTATACCGACGACTCCTCTTACTTCAATTCATCGGCTCCAGATTCGTCTAGCCAGACCTGCTTAAGCTATAAAAATCAGACCGGGAGAAATAGATTAGAGGGGTTTGCTGGTAACCTTAACGCAACGTGGAGAACGCACCATCACGGAACGGGTCCTCGCAAGCTTTATGAGGGGTTCCACGGCACCGAATGAAGGACATACATTTTACGGGCACCCCAGCACTGATCGCGAGCTTCCTCTCCGTGGATTGGACTCCGACATGAAATATGAGGGATAGAATATGAACCCCACCCTCTCGCCCCTCCTCCAAGCGGTCCAACTAGTCAAGAATCGGGCGACCTCCTGCCAGAAGGTTGCAGGAATACAACATCTTCCGTTAAATATGTCGGATTCACACATAGGGAGGCTGAAACGCATCCCTGCCAACGTGAAGGACCATCATCGTCATTTCACTCGCATCCCTACCAAGGTGAAGGACCATCATCGTCATTTCTCTCTCTCTCTCTCTCTCTCTCTCTCTCTCTCTCTCTCTCTCTCTCTCTCTGTGTGTGGGGGGGGGGGGGGGGGGGGGATAATTGGTCGACACCGCCCACGCGAAAACACTTTTGGTTTTGCGGGCCCAAACTTCCCGCGTTTGGCTAAAGGGACTACCAGAAAAGTTCCCGTGTGGACTATCTACCAATTCTGAGAGGGCGTCGTAGAGGTGTCGTGCATGCAGCGCCCTCTCTCTCTCTCTCTCTCTCTTTCTCTCTCTCTCTCTCTCTCTCTCTCTCTTTCTCTCTCTGTGTGTGTGTGTGTGTGTGTGTGTCTCTGTCGGGGGATAATTGGTGGACACCGCCCACGCGAAAACGTTTTTGGTTTTGCGGGCCCAAACCTCTCGCGTTTGGCTAAAAAGGACTACCAGAAAAGTTCCCGTGTGGACTATATCTAGCAATTCTGCGAGGGCGGCGTAGAGGTGCCGTGCATGCAGCGAGCCGCATAGAGTGGCAACAGAACAACAGCGAGGTTCGAGATCGCCTCAAATCACTTTCACTAACGACTGACAAGCTTCAAGCCCAATTCTCCCAAAACAAACAACCAAAAGACAGGAAAAGAACACGCGATTCTGCGAGTCGACCTGTGTGCTGATACTCACGCTCACCCCGCGTCCCCACGATGTCCTGATCAAAAGCTCTTCATCATCACATGGACATCCACAGAGCGCGGGTGACCCACGTGGGTGGAAAACTCCATGATAGACAACTGCGAGCGACAGACAGCCAACCAACCAAAAAAACAATACTCTTCCTCACGTCCTCCTTCATGCAGTACGTCGGACGAGAAGAATATTTCCACGAGATAAACTTCTCTTCCTCCGCCCTCCGTCATGCAGTACGTCGGCAGAAAAGAATACTTCCACAGATAAACTACACAGATTTCCCCAAAATAGCCTTCGTTATAATTTAAAAAGTGAAACCCACGTTTAAACTTCCCCAAATTAGCCTTCGTTATACTAAAACCGAAGTGAAAAAAGCCTTCGTTATCACGTACCGAGAGGGGACCTTGGGACAGTGCTGAGCGCTGTAGATCGATCCCCGCCGCGCATCATCCCACGACGCCCAGGCCTGCCACTTGTCATCGCGTTACTGTTTCTTCTCACATCCACTTGCGATTCTCCACCCACATCACCTTCCCTCCTCTCTGCTCTCGCCTGCATCGATATTGTGCTTAAACCCCTGTCTGCCCTTCCAAGGGACAATCCTGGCCAGCGGCCCAGAGCATCCGTGGAGCCATCAGAGCCAACAACACCCGAGTATACGCCACGTGTTCCACCCAACCACCTCGATCGCTCAACTCCCCTGCTGACAGCTGCCGAGAGATTGCACAGCGATGCGGCGGCAGTACGAGGACAGCTGCCCTCGCTCTTCTTCTCTGGGAGACATGCTCTTCCTTCGCTGATTGATGCCACCCTTCGAGGGATCGAGGTACTTAACCTCCGCGCCCCGGTTAATGCCGGGAGAAAATCGACACAGGGTCGGAGAGATACCGAATTCACAAGTCCCAATGCCGGCTTCGCCATGGTCAGACAAACAGCTCCTACCTCCGATGCGTTTGAACCCCTATAAAACGTCTGCAACACACAACTCCGCGTTCGCTCTCTCTCTCTCTCTCTCTCTCTCTCTCGACGAGCTCGGCCAATTTCAGTGCGCAAATCGACCTCAGAAAACTCGATATCTGCTCCTTCCTCCTCCTCTCTCTCTCTCTCTCTCTCTCTCTCTCTCTCTCTCTCTCTCTCTCTGAGCTCGGCCAAGTGCGCAAATCGACCTTGGAAAACTCGATATCTGCTCCCTCCTCCTCGTGAACCTCCTCGTCTTACTTGCCCGACCACTGCGGACAGCGCAGAGAAAGAAGATGACACCTCTCTCCCTCAAGATCTCACTCGACTTCCCGCCTCTGGAATCGCGACCAGTACCCCTCTCTAACGAAGTTCTTCAAATGTCAGATACAGCGTCTCGTCGTCACAACCGAAGTTCGCTTCGCTCAACGAAACCGAATCTCGCTCCTCTCAACAAACGCGTCGGGGGTTCGTCGTCACCGTGCGCAACCAGTCAGCACAGCTCCTCCACTCATACCCTACAACTTAGCAAAACAACCGATACACCGCACTATGTCGACGGAGAAACGACTGCATCGCTTACGCAAGTCGTAGCATTTGTCGTTGCTCCTTTTATACCTACGAGTGGCGCTCTGGGCGTTAGTACACGGTGAGGACATCATGAAATCGGGAATGGCCTGGATTTTTCGTATTGACTCGCGCTGAGTCAACCAACTGAATATGGCTGTAATTGACGTCAGATACGTTGACGAGCGGTGCCCGTGTGATGTCCTTCTGGTCAGTAAAGGTAAGCATCCAAGACGACGCGCCACGACTTCAAGCGGAGCGTCTACTTACACTGACACGAGAACTTTCCGTGCGCGGCGCACTGCCAAGTCTCGGGCTGAACGCCTGAATCTGGACGTGTTTGTTGAGAGGTGCAGAAAATCGCGATTGATCTGTTTTTCTGCATCTCTGGTTAAACCCCCTCCAGATTCAAACGCTCGATCCAGTCCTCTTTGCTCTCTGTGCTACCGGTAGTGCTGTCATTTCCCCTGCTGTCAGTGTGGCCTGACCGCCTAACGACGCCCCTAGAACCTTCTAGGCGGCCATTTTTTATTATTATTATACGATTTACAGTTTTTACTTTTACCTTCACCATCGCCCTTTTCCCGCTATTATCGACAGAAAGTCAACTCTTCGAGGTTCCGTACGCCCTTGCTTGGTGAAAAGTGCCGAATGCATCTTCACATAGTAGGTGAGCAGTGGGGCGCGAGTGACTGGTAGTTTGCGCGCGCTTGACAATTTGACAATTTTTCACGTTGCGTTGGTGAGCAGCAGCGCGACGCCTTTTCTACATCTTCGGGGGCCAGGTCCCATCAGCAGCATTGAGTTTCCTCAACGTCCGAATCGGGACGTGTTTGTGAAGATGTGCAAAAAATTGCGTTGAGTTTCCTCAGCCGCACCTCCCCATGAACACGTCCAGATTCAGGCGTTGAGGAAACACACCGCTGCTAGTGGGACCTGGCCCTTCGCCGCCGCCACGAGCACTTGCCGTACCGTTGCTCCGACGGGCAGGACGAGTCCAGAAAACTCCACAGCGTTCGATTCCGTAACGGCGGCCTCGTTAACCTATCAACGAACTCCAGAGATTCTGGAAGCAAGTAGCTACCAGAGATTCTGGAAGCAGGTAGCTACCAGAAAAAGAGAGACTTGCGCTAGAACATGGAACTGTACACCACCATATTTTTTGTTTTTTGTGCATGTGGAGAGTAGTGGAGCCAGGCCCAGAGCCCAGAGAGAGGTGCTTCCAGGTACTTCCAGAGATTCTTGGAAGCAGGTTAGCTACCAGAAAAAAAGGAACCGACGGGCCTACAGTAGCCCAGGTGGTACAGCCGTGAGCAGTTGAGACACAGGTGGAACTACCTTAGGGCCAGTCAGCTTGGCAATGATGATTTTTTCTTTTTTTCCCCTTCTTCTGTTTTGCTTGGTTATGATATGTGCCGGGGCCGCGGGGCGACATTTTGGAGATGTCCCTGTAATTTGGATTAAACCACCAGTACTTGGCCCGGCTACCCATGCCGAGCCTGGAATGCCGAAGGGTTTCGTTTTTTTTTTGGCTGGCGCTTCCAGCCATTGTGATCCCGTACCCGAAGCCCTAAAGGTGCGGCACATTACCGGGAAAGCGCCGCAGCCGATAGCTGGGCCAAGTACTGGTGGTTTAAATTGTGTCATACCTCTCTGACGGCCGACATACCCTGTCGTGCCTCTCTGACAAGGAAAGAAGTCTCGGGAAACGCTGGCGTCATTTGGGCCTGAAACATCTTTCATATGCTCCTACCGCTACTGGTCCCAAACTTTCGGTATAACCCTACCAGATAGGCGTTCAGCACAAGCAGGTAAATTTCTCATATGCCCCTACAGGTACCGTGCATCTTTTCAGCACTGCCCCTGTGGCCTTTGGTGGCACTCGCGACCTTTCCCGTCGCCCTGGGAGAGGAACTACCGGAACATATCAGAAGTTTGGCGGCGGTCTCTCTCTCTCTCTCTCTCTCTCTCTCTCTCTCTCTCTCTCTCTCTCTCTCTCTCTCTCTCTCTCTC